TATCAAGAAAAGATTAAATTAAATTAAATCGTATCGATACAATCCCGGTACCGATTCCCTATGTCTTACTCTCCGTCTGTAGTCCAGATGCTGCCCTGATGATGTCCATTTGTAATGTTTTGCACGATTCGGTAAAATATTACTACCTACTTGTTTAGCGATTTTCATCGGAGACAATTGTTAAACCAGATGTTCAGCGGATATTTTCTAAAGAAGACTGGGTCAATTTATGAAAAACGCTCAAGATTAAGTGCAAATAAAGTGTCACAACTATTATTAATAACTTTTAATGCAATAATATGTTCTATTATTTGTTATTTTATTTTGTAACAACAAATAATCAATATTTAGATATCTATTTTGTAATCTTTCATATTTAACATAAAATGATAAACATCATTACCGTTTTGTAATAATATATAATAAATACGTTTTGAATTTAATTGAGAATATATTTGAGTTTACCTCGGTTATTTCAGAAAACATGGGTTCCGTCTTCTTATTTTCTATCCCGCAACGCATTCTTGATGTTAAGACGATACGAATCTCCCTTCAGTTTATAGTTGCAAAATATGTAAAACGAATTTCTTAGGGCTTATTTTCAATGATTAATTGTGTTTACCACGCCTCAAAATTATTTTTTCCATTCATGTACTCTTTGATTCCTTTAGGATTAAGTCTTCTCAATTATGTTTATTTTTTTAGAAGCGACAGCGCAAGGGACGGAGCCTTGGCACCGTCTTAGAGAATGTTTGCTGTAGTTACAAGCGAAACGTCGAACTATTGGAATGAACGGATGCATGTCACGTTATCAATACAACATGACGAGTCTCGAGCTAGGTCAGAGCGAGCAGCTGATTGTTTGGGCCAAAAATTAGAGCGTCTGCCGTTTGCAGCTTCAGCTTCGGCCCTTTTTGCAGCATTCGGCAGGGGTCTGCGCAGGCTGCAGAATCCCTGGCATCCCGTGAACCAGAAATCCCGTAAACGGATCCAAGATCCTCGTTCGCGAAATATGTCGATGTGACGACACGCAAGGTGTAATTTATTATTAAATTATTGACGTTTCGGTGCTATATACAACTAATTTTTACGCAGAATTTTACATTTTTTACCCAAAACAAGAGAAACTCGATTGTCGTGGATTATATTCAATAGGGCAACAACCAGAACGTAAAGGGCCTTATCCTCTCCAGAGAATTAATTCACTTATTTTCCTAGATTATATTTATATAGATATTTTATGGTGGGACCAATTAGGTACGGCTAAATACCTTTTTAATAATAAAAGAGACCAATAGACGACGGTAAAATTAGCAAGAATATTTAACGTTTTAGTGGCTTAAATAGCAATTTTATATTAGAAGAATTCAAAGGTAAGTGCTGTTTGATTAGCGCAATTTTATAAAACGTCCAGGTTCTGAAAATTGCTTCATCGGATTTAAAACCATCCTGACCTGGAGCCATGACACGTATTTCTGACCTCTAATTCCATGTGGTTATTCGCAAAATTTCGAGATTTTATTCGGAAAACTAGCAGTGATTTTGCCCAAAATTAGGGCACTGATTACGAGAAAACACCGTGCACTTCATTGACCTTTTGATTCAACGTAGTCACGTTCGAGGGGTGACGACTGCCAAATTCGATTTTTTCCAACTTTACTCAAAGCTTCCACAAAGTTAGGATTTTTTTGCAAATATCCTCACTAATACGTTTTGATATTGAATTGAAACTGATTTTTAGCTTGTTTAAATGCGAAATTTTCTGCATATATGTAATCAGATGGTTTCCTAACATTAGCACTTCGTGTATTGAACGAAATATGGCCTCATATTAACTAATGCATGTTAAATATTCATTATTTATCTAAACTGTAGCTTTCATTCCGATTTAAGCCCAACTTATTGATTTTTGATCTGATATATGTAGAGTTTAAAGTAGATAGGTAAAGGAATTTTTACATCTAAAAGAAAGGTCATCAACATTTTTTCTGAGTAACATTTTACTACTTTGTTCAAACAACTAGAAAAGTAATCTAGATTTTTCCAACAACGGAACTGAGTCCAAAGAAAGTCGACGAGTTTTCATGTAAAATCAATCTTTTAATTTTTTGCATAAAAGATTTAGTTTGTCAGTATTTTATAGTAAAACGTTAGGAAAAACGCGGTTTTTCTGTTTAGAAATATTGACCTAAAAGTGAAGAAACCCCAGTTCTCCAAATAAATGATTAGAAACTTTTGCTTTTTCAGTTGGGGAATATTATTTTTGAGAAAAGACCCAGAATTAATTATTGGGGTTTTGACCATAATTCGAAGCAGCAAAAAGTTTCCCATAAATGTTTGCGAAGCGGTTAAGGAGGCGAGTGTTAAATAATAAAATTTACCTTATAATTTTTCGCAGAAAATACTTGATTGTCAGTATTTTAAATAAAACTAAAAAATAATGTGATTTTTGCCTAGAAAGAATTCCTTAAAATAATCTTTGTTAAAGGAACTTTGCAAATATTCAGAGCTGTGAGAGCGGCGAATTTTCCAGATATTTTTTTTGAGATAATCTTAGTTACTTTCGGTAAAAAACTGAATTAAATTATTTGGTTTTTGTGCCAAATTTGAAGCTGAAAGTGGTTTTCTAAAGTTCCCTACAAATCGATGAATTAAAAGTGTAAAAAACTCATTTGCTTTCCCAAATACGGCTAAATTTGACTAAACATTTTTTAAATAATGAATTTTTTGAACTAAACATTTTGCGATATGTTTTAAATAAAATTTTCCAAACTCTGTGAGTTTGATTGATAAATTATTACATTTGCTGGAATGGTTGCAATCGCTAATCAAATGTCCGAAAAGAAAATTTAATGAAAATATAAATAAGTACTTTACTTTCCACACTCAATCGCTTCAAATACTTTTTCACTAATGGTTGTTTTAGGAATGAGAAGTGCACTAAAAAAGGATCCATTTGACCATCAAACAGGTATTAAATTTGCTCCTTTTTCACTGAAAAGATACGGAACGATTGATTTTAGCCGTAACTATCAGTTAATTAACAGTTAGAGATAATCATTACGAATTTTGTCCTCAGGTCATGTTGGAACTTCCAGATTTGCGCTGAATCAGTTCGACGTTTCAACACAGGTAAATGTGTTTAAAGCAGTACTTTTTATTAAATTCTAGTGGTATTTTTGTTAAGTTTGATACCAAATTTATTAATGTGTGTTTTGAGGGAAAATAATCAGATGACTAAAGTCAAACAAACTTTTCGAAAAATAGAACCACCACAGGAGAAAAAATAACACGACAAATAAATAAGTAAACATATAAATGAAAACCAATTTAATAAATCTAGTTCTGGAAGCAAAGAGCCTGTTTACGACACCATAATTCGATATAAGTAATTTTTCTATTGTGCCGTTTTTATTGATTGTGGTTGAATAAATTTGAACTTTTCCTCATATTCCTTCTATATTAATGAATAAAACCGGAAATTTATATGCGATAACATTTTCAAATCGCCACATCTTATTTGCTATTTTCTAAAGACGAACGTATGTTACATTAGCAATTCCTCGTTTTCTTTGCTGCAAATTTGCTGTTGCCTCTTACTATTTTTATTAACTTTTCCCTTTTCAAGTGCAGCTATTAAGAGGTCATTAAGTAAAAAATGTTGAAAACTTTTTGCTACCAAAGAAAATTCATAAATTGAAGTGAGATTTTTGAGCGCTGGTTTATTCATCCATTTGCCAGATTTATCCACAGAAAGATTTGTACGGTATTACAAAAAAATAAATTTTTTATTATTCTTTTCCAGTCAGATATTCAGCACCAAAATTTTAACTATGGCTCTGAAGATGAAATAATGGGTCGGTTGTACGGGCATGAAAAACGTGCCGAAAATTCGTCCGGCAAATCTGTAGCTCACTACAGTAAGCAGGATATTCTGGAGCAATACTGCATATCAGACAGAGGCTTGGGTGCTTTAGAAAATGGCAGCTACAGTTTCTTTGGGTACATTGGATAGTTATTTTACATTGTTACAATCTTCGTCAATTTTTGGCATATATTTTAGGTGCCTTTCTTCACATCACAATTCGTCATGCTCATCCCGCAGTGCCTCTTCATTCTTGACGGCTTGTGTTCGACAAAAGGTTTCCTCCGACGAAAATTTGTATGAATTGTATAAACGCCATCCATATGAATATGCCCCGTTTCCCAAGAAGCAAAGGTAAGCTATTATTTTGCAGTTTATTCAAGGCAAAGATACATGATATGGGTGCTTGTCTTTAAGCATTTGAATGTAAATATCAGCAATCGAGTGGACTATTCGAAAGTTTGACAAAGTTAAAAGAAAAATTGCCATTTATTCTGTTTTTTTTTAATCGGGTTTTCTGAGAAAAAAAAACAATCAAAAAAATATTTTTATGGACTTTTTTGCCTCAGATACCCATGGTCCCCAGTCACACCCGAAATGTATTCGCATGATCACGATCTAAAATCTTCATATTTTCGAAGAAAACCATACGCCGACCCAAGCAGATACACATGGATGCCCTCCGACGACGAATCGATTCGAATGGAAAAACCCAAGTCCATAATCGATATTTCCTACCGAAATCAGATGATGCCTCAAAGGTAACTTTGAGCAATAGAAACCGCGAAAATTTCCAAATTAAACTGGCAATTTTAGCAAAAAGCACGTCAGTTTTGCCCGATCGCATACATTAACTTCGTTCGACGACGCAATGTCGTCTTTGAGTTCCTCATCCAGCCATTTGAATCGCATTACCAGAAGCCAGGAGCGGCTGCTGGAAGTCAAGAAAATCGATGCGTCTCAGGCGATCACGAAACAGCCGGAATTTATGGACAAGATCGTGCTGGGTAAATTCAATTAGCATCGTTTTCTGGGCAGCATGATTAACGTTTTGAGTTCCAGAAAAAGTCAAGAGAGGCCCGATGAAGACGCAAGCGACACAAACTGATAATATTTTGGCACGGAAATCATTAGCGCACGTCAGCCTTAGTCCTAGAACAGTACAGAGGGTAAGACGTTGCTCAGAACATAAATAAACAGATTTAAGATCATATAAATACTAACCAAGACCAAAACGTTGGTCTAACCAACATTCCAAAAAATCAACCAACGAATCAAATGCTTCCTTCTACATCTATTTTGATCTCTGTTAAATCAATTACTAGGTGAAGATGGTCTCCCAAGCAGCTCAAACTAACGGCATCAATGGGCGTAAGCTAATAAAATCCTTATCAGAGGCTGGCCATAAGTTTCCATCCACATCCCAAGAAGACCGTCATTTCTTCGGAAATGGTGATCATGAGCCACTTCACCGGTAAAATCATATTTCATTCAAGGACTTTTCTCCTAAAAAATCACTCCTAAATTTTCTACGCTTAGAACTCAGTCCGATGAGCCTCCAAGATCCCCATACATCGACACATCGCCTCCAATCGCAAATCTTCCGTCGGAAGATCAGCCCCAAAGTGAATCTTCGTCGATCTCCAAGTCGGACGATCATGGATCTGAAGATTCCGTCGAGGCGAAGAAGGAGATTTTCATCGATTTCAAACCGCAAGTTCGAACTGGTTTGGGAACGCTGAGCAAACCGCCGCTAGTCAAGACATTTTCCGATGGCGTGATCTTGATGGAGAAGCGGCGCCTTAATAATTCAGATGATGGAGTGGTACCCAATATGCGTTCGTTCAGTTCAATTAGCCACGAAAATGTGCAGGTTGCCGATGAAGTGTCGAAATTCGTACCACATTTTCAGAAAGGTAAATTTCCCTTAAGCGGCCAATGTGAGGCATTAAAAATACATCTTCACCAATCCCAATAGCAAATGAGAACAACTTGAACTAATAAGAATTGTTGAAACTTCGATGTTTCAGCTCCAATAAAGCACGAAGGAATCTGCAAACCTCTAGAAGAGAACATATATTCTTCTATTGATGGAAGCATTAACCCGCAAGATTCTATTGATGAAGAATTCCACGAAAACCTGTTTTACCATAGGGACTACAACCGGTGATAACCAGGAAATATTTCTGTAATATTTGTTTAAGTTGCGCCGTTTGCAGGCAAGAATCTCTGGACAAAGACCTGGAAGTCATCAGCGAAAGGAGCCCTTCAGCTGATGAATCAATTGTGCCGTCCATTTATTTACGAACTGATTTGACTCCTTCGCCCTTTGCATCTAGTGACTCACTAGCAAATGATACGAGGTATTTAAGTAACTGGCGAAAATGATCTTTTTAATGCTGTTTTAACTTTCCAGAGATCAATCGGACGATATTTGGAACGAATCCCAAGTTACAGTTTTGCAGGTCGAATCCGGTACTGATAATGGAACAGTTATCAACACACCAGAAAGTGCACCTTTGGGTAGTTCAGCTTCTTTTATAACTATTTTCTGAATTTTCCACATTGATTTTTTTAGGCTCCACTGCTCTCCTGACACCATCATCCAGACGGAAACACCTGCTAATGTGGCAACATCAGCAACGCTCTTCCATGGATACTGAAGACTTGGACAAAGAGTGCCTTGAACAGGACATTCGTCCAAAACTGGCCATAGAAATAAGCCCTAACAAGGCAAGAGATGACTAACTAACGAAGAGTTAACTAACTAACGAAGCGCGTTTTAGCAGCTCAAGGTGCCAAACACGCTGCAAGTGATCACCAAACAAAGCTCTTCTTGCCTGAGAATCGGGCAACCACGCGCTATGTCGCCTTCTAGACGGAGAAAAGTGTCCGAATTTCCTCAAGTTTTAGCGGAATCGCCGCTTCCAGCCGTTGTTCCTGAGCTTGTGCTGGCTCGCACTGATTCCTGCAAGACAAACACTGATCTTTCGGAAAGTACCACCACTGATGATTACATTACAGCCAATTCCGGTACGGATAGTTCCAGGAAAAGTGCTTCGTTTCAGGTATGTCTTGTCCAAGTAACTTTTAAGTTTTTTATTCATTCACACTCCTGTCTGACAAATTTTCAAACTTTATGTTTCACTGTAGGGAGCTGATAACTCTACACTCAATCATATGCTTCAGGATCCTAAATTACAACTAATGAGCCAGGATAAGAAACCAGACGGCGGAGGTTCCAGTTTCGACAGTGCCAAAGGCTCTTTAGATGCATTTACATTAGACGATATGGTAAGTTCTTTTTTGCAGTGGTTCTGCTGCTCCAGCAGGTAAAGGGTAGACCATAAACCCATCGTACATACAATTTTTCTTCTCAACCGAGCGGATATCTATTTTAATTTAGAAGATTCACATAACACGCTTAAAAGGGCAACTAAAATAAGTTTACTTGCCTAGGTGGTTCCTTCAATTTCCCCATCAATATCATCGGATCGATATCTCCCCATGGACACAAATCCTGCCAGCGTTAGTTATTCTCATACTCCCGTGCCGCAGATTCGGACTGGTCGTTCCACTCCATCAGAAGACAGCAGTTCTTGTGGGAGCTACAGCGTTGGCGGATCTACTCCCGATCTCCTTGAAAGGTAATTTCCTGTTTTCTCAGTTATTCGGTGCCTTCWGAAAACCGAACTAAAGTCTGGTCGGACGATGAGGAAAGCAAYATCCAATATTCATCTTCCGGGTACTGTGAATCTCCCTTGGAGGACGAGTACGTTTTCCATTCATTTCGCAYTTCGTAAAACTGTGATGGCTAATCAAAGCGCATAGTTGTACCGTAGTAWYTCAGGAATTCTATTTYAGTTTGACCAAGCGCGAAGAAACAACCMCGAAGAGAAGAAAGGAGTTCCAACTGGAYCTGGCCAATGGCTCAAGAAGCGGCAGCAGCAGCAAAACGAGGCACAAAAACAATGATAGCAAACCCTCGCCGCAGCAGGAAAGCCTCAAAGTTGCCCCTGAGAAAGGGAAGCGGTCCAAAGTTAGAACACGAAGCCCATTGCAGGGACACAAAAAGAGCTTTCAAGGTAAAAACTATATTTTCAGTTATATCTGCATTTTAGTAATTGGAATGATTTGTATTGCAGGACGCAAATCGCCACACAAGGACAAAACCCTTTACCTGGAAGACCGAAGTTACAAAGCCACATCCGACGAGTCCAGTACTGGACGAGAGTACACGATCAGCCAAACTTCGCCTAGAAAATCGAAGAAAAACAAAGAATCGTCCAGGCGAAAGTCGTTGCCTCGATCTCCAGTCAGCCAGAAGAGCCAAAAAAAGAACGACGTGGACTATCAGCCATCCAGTTTGCCAGGCAGTTTATCCAGAAGGAAGTCTGCCAAGAAATCCGCACAACCTGGTAACTTGGAGTATGAGCATGCAAAGTAAGTAGCAAAGGATGAGTGAGTTCTTTTTAACTGTGGATCATTGTGTTATTAGCGCCTACTCCAAACATGCAGACGCTCAGAAAAGCCCTACAGCTTCAGCAAAGGACACAACCACCCTAAAGGCTCTGAGCGCTGAGTCGTTGCGATCCGTTAGCCCAGGGAGCGACAGCGTTTTCTACAGCGAACCCAACAGCCACGCAACTGACCATCACATGCATTGCCTACATTGCGGAAAAGAGGTAAAGATCGGGAGTTCAAAAACTCCTGATATCCCGCATGTTTTAATGGTCTAGGTGGAAGTGAATACGGATGAAGCGGAAAAAAGCTTAAGCAGCAACGGACATCAGCAACAAGTGATCGTGCAACCTCCCGCGGGTTTTGAAGACTCGCCCAAAATCAAAGTGGGCAGACTGTTCAAAAAATCGGACAAACGGCTGAAGTCAGAGGAGAAGAGTCAGCACGAGCAAAAACGCCATCGATACAGACCGGACATGCGAGCGAAGGTAACGGAAGACTGACACTGCTAAATCAAGCTATAGCCGGTGAAATGCGGATGGCTTTATGAAGCAAGCAGGTGCATTACGGAACCTAATGAGTATTTCCCCAGTCAGAAGAACGCGGTGGAGCCACAGCGACTTTACGAGGACGATTACGGCCGATGCAGCGCTCTCCCTACTGCAGCAAGGAGCACCTCAAAGCAGCAGACAGCAGCCCCAGCATCCTACCAGGAGCCCCAGAGGAAGATAACGACCAGGGTGTGTATCCCGGTTGCTACCGTTCCGGCCAGTGGTTCTGCATCAACGAGGCGGACAAAGTTCTTGCATTCTTCTCACCGACAGGTAAACACTAAACACGTCGTATATACCCATAGTCCATAGGTTCACAATAATTTTGAATAATTGGGTCCAAATCTGGATGCCGACATTTTGAGGCCTGAGTTGATTTGGTCTTCAGTTTTTCCAACAGCTTTGATTCAAGTTCTTCTAGCTCATCCGCTAATGCTGAAGAAATTGATTGCGTCGTTAACCAAGCCTCGACACAATGAGACAATTCGCTTCTTCTTGGCTTTTCGCGGCTCTGATGAAATAAATTTTACTTTTCCGCGTCATTTTTACAGTGATTCCAATAGTCACATAGCAGAAGCAAACCGGCTCTGCTCTTCGTTTAGGGATTATTGAAAAATCCTCTTCTGAAGACATTTGGCCAAGTGTCGAAAGACCAATTGATCCATTCGCACTTTTCGCTGCAATGCGATGCAATAGATTGAATATATGAAATATAAAAAATCAGCGTTTGAAGGGCAAACTTCTTGATTTTTGTTGGTGTTTCAGAGCCGGAATCAGTTCGACGAGACTCCATCTCGAGCACCGAATCGGAGCATAACTTTAGTGAACGATACCATGGCGTCGCACATCGAGTTGTCCATCGAAAACCCTATGTAGATATGTATAAGCGGTTATATTTTAAATCATTTGGTAAGCATTAAGGTTAACTTACTAGGCTGTGGTAAGTGACGGTCAACCTATCAGCAAGCACAGAAGTACTCCGCAATTAAAATCGCGATCTAATTGAACTTTGTAGAAGGTTGTTTATAAAGGGTGTCGGAAAGTTTGCCACTTTTTTCATAGTGGATTTAAAAAAATATTTTTAAAGAGTCTTTATAGAAACATGTTTATCCTAATTTTTAACGCAGAATTGCACACACTGTGTAAACGGTTTCAAGAGGTATTTTGGTAAAATGCCTTATTTACATATACATAGTGCTTCTTATTAACCTATATAAATAACAACAGTCAATATAAATAACGTGAGGAAGATTATATTTCCTTGGATTTCAGGGTTAATTTTCCTGGAATCACGCTCCGTTCCTTCAAAAGCGCTTCTTCAAAACGTTTTTTTGTCGACCGATGGTTGTTTTGCACAGAAAAAAGTAGTTATCGCCCCCTGTAGCACTTTGAGATAAAACACAATTTATCAGTAAAACATTGATTGGACCAATAAAATTCATTGGCCCTGTATATGTGTAGAAAGTGTTGGGTATTGCCACTATAAATTCCTCGTCTAAACTCGTAAATGACCAGGAGTTCTATAAATGTAACGGAATCAAAATAAATCTCTGCACAATTTTCATTCCACAGGAACAGAATGATTCAAAATAACTTAAATCGAAACGTGCGGGCCGCCGGACAGAAACGTGTTCTCCATTTTCTTAAAAATAGCCTGCCATGGCTTTTGGTAAGTTTTTCTCGTAAATTTTTCAATAGCAGTTGTTCCGAATCACTCACTATCTTACAAAACATTCACGAAATTTGGATTCACTCAGATTGCAAAGGCTTAATTGATCTTGTTTTAGTTAAAATGAAACACACATATAATAGCAGGCCAGGTGTTTATCCAAAGTTTCCAGATGTTCCAGTTATTTCGCCAATGCTCGATTATCTCGTCCATATTAAAAAGATGCCTCCAAAGTGTGGAAACCATCAAGCGAAAAACATGTTGTGTTAATATTGAGTTTTAAGAATATTCGGAATATTACATTATGTTGCTCTGGGCGATTTCCTATTATTACTTGCACTGATTTTTTCAAAACTGGAACTTCTCATGAAAATTTGATAAAATGTTGTAAGTATTATTATTTCTTATTAGATAGTGAATCAAGTTGCGTTATCGGAAGTAGTGCGGATATGAAACAGAAACTGGAGGAAATCCTAAAATTGATGCTTACCATATGGTGCAGAGAAAACAATGCTTTAAAACTGATTTCCGGAAAGAGTAACGGTTGGTATTGAGTGCAACTGATAGGGTGCTGTTACAAGGCCTGGATAACACTGTGTTGAGTTGTGCTATTGAGTTGTTGCAATTCTCTGAGTTAACTCAGTTTAAGCTTTACGAGACACGAGACTGGAATTTTCACATCTAAAAAAAGGTCATCAACATTTTTTCTGAGTAACGTTTTACTACTTTGTTCAAACAACTAAAAAAAGTCATCTAGATTTTCCCTGCTACAGAACTGAGTCCAAATAAAGTCGACGAGTTTTCTTGTAAACTCGATCTCCTAATTTTTTCGAAGCTTGAAAAATTTTTGCAAAGCAGTTAAGGAGGCGAATGTTCCAATAAATTTTTTCTTATAATTTTTCACAGACAATACCTGAAGATTGCCAGTATTTTAGTTAAAATTAAAAATAATACAATTTTTGCGCAGAAAGATTTGCTTAGTAGAAACTTTGGTAAAACTGGAATTACCTGAAAATTTAAAGAAACTTTATAAATCTTCAGAGCATTGAGGGCGGTGAATTATCCCAATAATTTGTTGTAAACTTTTGCTCTCTGGAAAAAACTTCATAAAATTATTTGGTTTTCGTGCCAAATTCGAAGCTGAAATGGGTTTTCTAAAGTTCCCTGCAAACCGATGAATGTGGCGAATTTTCTAGCAAAATTAATTTTGTCATTTTTGGCTGAAAACACACCATTATTGCCAAAAAACAAGAAAATCGAAAAATAATGCTTTGTTGCGTTTTCGATTAAAAACTTTCAGTTTTGCGATCGGTTTTGGAGGAAACCTTAATAGTTTTCAAGAAAAAACAGGAGGAATGTATTTTWATTTYTGCCCCGATTTCGACACTGCAAAAATTTTTTGTAAAATTTTAAAAAGCTATAAATTAATCTTGTAATTTTTCGCGTAAAAGTCCTCCAGATCGTCAGTATTTTTWACTGRAACTCTTYAAAATAGAGCGGTTTCGAGTAGAAAGTAAAAAAAATTCAGTCAAAACTAAAAAAACACATTTTTTAACAAATTCTACAGTCTTCAGAGGAATAGAGGTGACGAGATTTCTAAATAATCTGTTATAAACTTTTGCTTATTCTGTTCGTTTTTTGATAGAAAATTGTTTGGTTATTGTTCCAAATTCGAAGCTGGGAAGGGATTTCAAAACTTTTTACAAAACGACGACGGATTTGAAATTTATTTCGTAATTTTTCGCGGAAAATACATTTTTAAGTGAAACTAGAAAATTGGCTTGGAAAATTTTGGAATTAATGGCATTTAAAATAAATCTAAAAAAAGTAAAAAAAGTAATCAACATTTTTCCAGTGGCGGAACTGAGTTACTGTGCCGGTGCATTGGGTTGGCTGACGCACCAATCCATATGCGTAGCACTGCGCCAACTCCTAAAAATTCTCTGAGTTACTCAGGCCTAGCTGTTACTAACGCATTTATTGTACATTCTGGTAGCTTAAAAGCACTCAGTTAGTTGTTGAATCATTGTTGTGTTCCAGAATCGGACAAAACCATCGTCGTCCAACGCGATTCTGACGAATTTGGCTTCAGAATTCATGGATCCAAGCCAGTGGTTGTGACCGTCATCGAGCCAAACACTCCGGCCGAGTCTTCAGGACTGGAAGTAGGCGATATCATAATTTCGGTCAATGGAGTTAATGTGCTGGATCGCAGTCACTCCGATGTGGTGCAAATCGCTCATGCTGGCAGCGACACTCTAACATTAGAAGTAAGCAATTGCTTACCAAAAACTGTGTTTTAGGTGTGGTTTTTGAAATTTGTATCTTGTAGGTTGCTCGTACAAGCTACGCGTTGAATTCGGCCAAAGAACTATCGGATTCTTACACGCTATACAGTGGGTATCTATGGAAGATGAGTGGTTACGCCAAAGGAAATACAACGAACAAGTGGACGCGACGATGGTTTTGTCTAAAAAAGGATAATTGCCTTTATTATTATAAGACTGATAGTGTACGTGAGTGATTCAGATCTAAGCCTTTTCCGAGCGCATTTTTCAAATGATTCTTTGCTTCTCAAAGCGGAAGGTTTTTTATTCAAGTGCTTTCTCTGTTCAGGTATATAGTTTCGGCTTAGCTCAATGAAATTTTCATAAAATGCCACTCAATTTATACGCATTAATTACTTTCATAGGATAAACAGCCTGTAGGAGTAGTGATGCTCTTCGATCAGGAGATTCGAGAGTTAGATACCGACACCGAACTATCTAAGCCCAACAAATTCGTCATTCAAAAGGAGGAAGCAGTTCCGCTTTATTTGGCTGCAGATACTTTGGAGGCCAGAAGTCGATGGGTAGTTAATGCAAGACTTTTTAAGTAGCTGATTTATATTGCATACGTTTCACATCGATTAGGTGGAAGTAATCGAAAAGACCTTAAGCGAGTGTCAAGCCGTAGATGAATATTTAGAAGAAACCAAGCGGAATCTAACGTTGAGTCCCAACTCAATTAGTGATCCTGACTGTTTCGGGTATCTTATCAAACTGGGAACGCAATGGAAATCCTGGAGTCGTCGATATTGCGTCCTTAAAGACGCCGCTCTGTACTTTTATCAAGATTCCAACGCGAGTAACGCGTTTGGTAAGTAATTAAAATCAGGGTAGATGCGAGTAAAAATTTACATGGGGTTTTTAGGAGTAGCTTTACTTCAGGGTTATCGCGTTCAGCAATCTTCATCCTCAAAAAAACACTCATTTGAGATCGTTCCTCCAGACCCAACTAAGAAACATTATTATTTTCACGCCGAATCAGATACTGACCGACGAAGGTGATTGAATACTAATTAAAACCACTTTGGTTTTTCATATTGTTTTGTTTTTAGATGGATTTCCGCATTAGAATATTCTATCGAGCGATGGCTCGTACAACAGTAAACACGAATCAGTTGCATGTATAAAGCTAAGAGGTACCTACTAAATGAACTATTATGTACATAATCTGTGTGTCCATATTATAATTAAGTGCCAAAAGTAATATAAACAATTTATGAAATTGTAGCCGGATAGAAGAGTAACATTAGTTCGCGCTTGATTTGTATGAAATACATTGCTCAAGAAAGTTTATTTATATTGAATAGTGGGAAAATCGATTTTATAAATGACGTGTGCACTGCCAGAGTATAAATGTTTAATAAACAGATTTTTTTATATTTTTTTTTCTTTGGGATTTTATGACATCGACTTYACTAACTCCCTCTTACTATACAGATGCGTTATGTCTTTGGCAACGTTTCGTYTCGGTGGCACCATCAACAAGCTCAATAAACTTCAGTTTTTTTCTATTTTCGGTCACTGGAAATGTTTAAAGCAGTCATAAAACATTAATTTTTATTTGAATGAATCTAAAAGTGCCATTTTTCRAKCAGAMACGATKATCATTGTTTTATCAAAASAAGCATTTTTCTTTACTGTTCATTTGTTTTACTATTGCGCATGGASTTTTACKCACATTTGCGCAACAGTAAATGTGACAAGTTGAACGTATCCACTGTCATAAAATATTTTGAAGTATTTTTATTAAAAARTAAATGACAGGCTTTCTTAATGAATAGGTTTATAGAGAACTATTRATCATAATTTAAAGTTTACTTACAATTTCTAAATTATAACTTTGAAGCGAGTTCAGTCTCAAAGTCGTTCSAATGGTCTATTTTTCTGCGCTCGCCGATGTTTCCACAAGCAAAACACGATTTTTTTAAATAGCKCAACTTTCATGCAAAATATGCAACTTATGCAAACACCATACCGTGAAAGCAGCACTTGAATTTTCAACAATCATTGTTTCACTTGTATATGCTTACAAAAGTACGCTTTTGAAAAATTACAAACGTTAAAACGTGCCAATTTTAAAAATGACATTGACATCAGATTTAAAATATGAAGTTGATGCCTTTTATATCTGGCTATTCTTATTTATTATAACTTATGATTCGTGTTATTTTTCATTCGAATAAAAAATGTTGTTCGATACGAGGTCGAAAATCCGTTTTTCGCCCTTGTCTCGAAAACTACTATTAATCAAAATTTTCTTCGCAGGTCTATTCAAAAAAAGTATGTCATAAAAGTGACATTAACCAATCGCCAACCTAATAAAGCAAAATGAACCCAGATTGAATAGTCGCGTAGTGTCAGTTATTGTCAAGAAACAGCCATAACGTCAGTTGGTTTATACAGTTAAGTTCAATTTTAGCCAAAACTATGCATTTAACGTGAAAAAGACTGCTATTACAAGTAAGTGACAAATAATATATAAGTATAAATAGTTTGCAAACCATTGAGCGTCACCTAATCAGAACAAAAAGTGGTCGGAAAGTATCAAGCGCAATTAGTTTCAATCGGCGCTGAATGTGCAATTTAACAGACATGTTCACTCCCAACAAGGGCGGATCCAGGGGGGGTCATGGGGGTCATGACCCCCCCATTCAATTCTCTATCCAATGATACCAAAACGAATTCTGTGGCTCGAATGGTTCTTCAGAAACTTCGAAAAAAGCAGCGGTATGTTCAGGTGGATTTTGCAACTCAAAAAAAAACCACGCAAATCTAAAACTTCTTGAATTCAAGTCTTTTTTGAGAAAACTGCCAGCATTTCCCCATCCATGGTTCGCTTTCTAAAAAGGCCATTTATTTCTGTCTAGAATGATGTACAAATAAGCGTTCTTGCGCATTTTGCCTCCGAGATCTGAGCAAAAACGGGCCGAAAAACATGAAATTTTGGCATAATCTTGTAACTAAGTGTTTGATATTTAAATTTCGCTTTCTGGGTCAAACTACTCGAATTTCCTCACTCACGTTGTTACAACTGAATCGGCTTTTCAATTCTCTATCCAACGATGCCAAAACGAATTCTGTGGCTCCAATGGTTCTTGAAAAACATCGAATAAAGGTCATTTAGTTATCTCTG